TATCAGAGCAAAATCTGGCAACAAGAACACTCCTAACATTTACCATTTCCTTGGGAGATTATTTATTAATAATTTATGTGGTCAAAATGGTATTTGGCATCCGCTTCGAGAAGGCAGTGTTCATATAATCTATAGGTATAAATTCAATGACTGGTTTTACGCTGTGTTTAGCTACGAAATCAGTCATCTGTTGAGTCTCCTTCAGTCTTTCAATCATGCTTATCTTCCTTGCCGTTAAGGGTATAATTCTTGTTAATTTCTCAGTCTTAATATCAAATCATGTCCAATACTAAAAATCTATACTTTATATATTAAAAGTATCCTAAGGTTTAAGAAAGTTAATAGCTTACCTAACTTATGAGTTTTGTGGGCTTTGAGATATGAGGAGTGGGTCTATGTTTAACTGCCTTTTTTTTTTGTTTTTTTTTTTTTGTGGTGAGCTTTAGAATTTGTGGTATTTTATTTATTGTTTATTGAGTAGGATTTTTTTCAGTTTTGTTTGAGAGGGCAGAGGGTTCAGTATTATCAGTACCAGCATTCAAGTTCATAGTCACTTCAAATGATGTTGCATGAAACTTTCTTTAAAGAGCGACAAAGTAAAGCCAATTATTGATCCCAATGGCATTTTTCCTTTCTCTTAAATTGTCTAAAGACTTTTTTATGTTGAAATTGGAAGAGTTATAGAAAAAGTGGTCGTATACCAATCCCATGAGACAAAAAATTCTTGTATAGTACTTAATATAATCCGTTCATAATATTTGATTTTAAATTGTGTATTTTAATTATGGTTATATTAAGATATGAAATAACAAATTTTTTAATAAATTAAATAATCCCCTCTATACTCTTAAAAAGATATGTGTCGAGAGTATAGAGAATTTATAGTTAATTTTATATAATAGTTATTGCTATTTACGAAACATAAATAATGAAATTTTAAAAAGTTTAAATCCTATCATATTATTCATAATATAAATATTTTTTAATTTTTAAAATATAATATTTAAGTTGATGTACAAAACCATAAAAACTGATTTACATGATTTACACCTACATTATTGGTGTAAATGTTTCTTAAACCTATATTGACTTTTAAATAAACCAGAGCAATCTATCAGTTCGGTTAAGTCAATTATAAAAACTTAAAAACCGATTAATTGGGCTTCATCTGTTTAAGTAACCAAATTGACTAATTAATAGTACGAAAATAAAAAGTAATTGAAATGACTTAAATCAATTGGTTTTGTCGATTTTGTTGGTCCTTTAGTTTCTAGCAAGTTTGGTCAAAGATTATTTGTCATAATTAATCACTGTATTATCTTTTTGAATTTGACTATTTTCCATCCTATGATTTTGAACTAATCCATGTGTGGATAATTAAGTTGATCAAATTATGTAACGGATATCTGTACATTAGTTAAATGATTAAATTAATTCTTCTATCTTAATGTTTTCAAATTGGATTCATATACTTCATTTTATTATCAAATTGAATCAAATTGTTAATAGTTCAAACTTGTTCCGTTAAACTTGATAATGTGATATTTTAATTTTTTTGATGTGACATTTTTGCTTACGTTGACGATTAACTTTGTTGACATGTAAAGTCTATGTGGTCAAATATGATAACGTGATAAAATTTTTTGACATGTCATCAGTTTTTCATGCCAACTTCTCTTAATTTGCACAACTTATCCCTATATTTTGGTTAAATGGTGGAATTAGTCTTTTTATCTTAATGTATGTTCAATTTGATCCCTATACATAAATTAACTATCGAATTTAAGATTTAATCTAAAATAAGTAAAATAAAACTAAAATAAAAGACAAAAAAACTTTTCAATACAAATAGATCGAATTGTAAACAAAGTCAATGTATAGGTCAACACAAGATTTGCACCAAACCCCTCTTGAAAAATAACATCGTTTCAACCTATTATAAAAACAATTTTTTTTTTAATTTTCCTTTTTTCTCCTCTTTCATCCTTGTTTTTCTCTTACTTCTTTTTACAAGTCTCCTCCAAAGAACTCATATTTTAATGGGATTTATAGAAATCAGGGATTGAAAAATTCAACAATCACAGAAAATTTATCCATAAAAACTAAAACCGTTAATACCCAGAAATCGATTATCGACACCACCATTTTGTATCATCATCTAAAGCAAAATTGAGCATAATACCCTAAAAATTATAAATTTCAAACCTTTAAAAAAAATTTTCTCGGTAAAAAATTATTTCTAATGGTTTTTGCTAATTGTCTTTATTTTTGTTGTGTTACCTTGTCGATTGCTATTGAATTCTCAAATTTTTTTCAAATTAATATTTCCAAAAAAATTTTCATATTTTCCTTAACTTTTTTCAATTTTTTATTTTTTTTATTTTTTTTTACTTTGACTTCTTGATTTTCACTAACTAAACAATAAAAATAAATAAAATACTTTTAGAGTTTTAAATTTGGGTTTAAAATTCAATTTCACAATTAAACCAATTGATCAAAAAATGATTTTAGAGCCTAATGTCGAGATGAAATTTCAAAGCCATTTAATATTGAAATTTTTTTTCAAAAAGAATAGAATGTCTACAATTGCTTTTATTGTTGACTGTATATCTGAGTTTGTTGACTATGATTTTTTAATCTAATTTTTATGCTTTAGTCATTTTACAAGTTTTTTTATTTTTTATATTTTAAGAATATTATAAAAGAAATTAACAAAAAGTGAAAAAATAAAATAAATAAAAAATAAAGAAAATATATAATTTAGTTTATTTTGGGCTTATAGTCTAATTTGAGATTAACCCAATTTGTCAAATTAAGTCCAATTAATAATTCAAATATCCAAAAAAATTTATCTAAATATGAAAAAAAATATCACGCTCGAATTAATAATTTATGCTTTTATATGTTATTTTAGATCAAATTTTAAATTCGATAATTAATTGATATATAAGGATCAAATTTGAACACATATTAAAGTAGAATGACTAATTCTATTATTTAACCAAAGTATAGAGACGAGCCGTGTAATTTGAGAAAAGTTGATGTGAAAAAATGATGATGTGTTAAAAAATTTTACCACATCATCATTTTTTATCACGATGACTTTACACGTCAACAAAGTCAATGGCCATATAAGCAAAAATGCTACATTAAAAAAGTTAAAATACTATATTATCAATTTTTACAGAAAAAGTTTGAACGATTAATAAATTAACTAAAGTCGACTATTAAATGAATAGGAATCCAATTTGAACAGATTAAGATAAATGGACTAATTTTACTATTTAACTAAAGTACATATATCTGTTATATAATTTGACCTAATTAGGTTCATCACACAATAAACACTTTCCACCGCAGTCATCGGCATAACCTCCAAGACTCTATCTCTCTCTATTGCCTTAAATTCATATAAGACATAAAAAACAAATTCTAGGAGCAAGCCAAGCAACACTAAGCCATTTCTTAAAATCTCACGTCAAGAGTCTATTAAAGGTAGTCTAAGTTTATTGTATAAATTTATGGTCTTATTTTTGTTCAAGTCATTTATAGAAAATTTTAGTACAGAAAATGACCAACATTCTCTGTCTCTCAAATATCTATATCTCTGATAACAAGAGGAATTGGGGTGCAACCATGGGGTTTAACAAGATAGAGATGAAGTTGATTGAGGATAAAACTTGCAGGTAAGTTACATTCTCAAAATATCGAGTAGATTTGCTTAAAAAATCCATGAAATTTCTATACTTTGTGGTGCTCAAATTGGGCTCATTATCTTCTCAAACACTAAGGGGAATTAGGGATATAGATTTTAGGGTTTTGATAAAAAAGAATAAAAAATAGAAAGGAAGGGCTAAAGGGTAATTAGGTAAAGGGTTAGGAAAATTAATAATGTTTTTGTTTATTTTAAATATTTAATTATTTGAATTTTGATTTTTTCGATCGGTTCAAATTTAAAACTTCAACACAAAAAAGAAAAAAGATAAATTCGAGAACCAAATCGATTTAATCTCTTAAATCAAAAAATCCAAATCGATTTAATTAAAATGAACGATTTAGATCAATTTTATTGATTTAAAGTTAATGCTTTCTCCTACTTTAAACAATAAAAAATGAAATAGAATGATGCTTTCTCTTAATCCTTTTACATATTGCTCCTATTAAAAATCTTTTGAATTATGTTTTGTTATACTAAAATGCAAATAGAATGATGTTTATATTGCCTTTGATATAATCAAAATAAAAATGGCTCTTCCTCTTATTTTCTTAAAATTATAGCAACTTGAATTAGGATAACCGACGCGGAATGCAGTTACAGCAATAGTATACTCTAATAAAAAATATTACGAACTTAAGATACATATGTAGAGCTCACCTCACTCTTACTTAACATATAAAAAAGGTTCTTCCTCTTATTTTCTTAAAATTATAGCAACCCGAATTAGGATAATCGACGCGGAACATAGTTACCACAATAGTATACTATAATAAAAAATATTATGAACTTAAGATACATATGTAGAGCTCACCTCACTCTTACTTAACATATTAACAATAGATTTTTTATTATATATTTATTATATTATGTATAAATACATAAAATAAAGATTATCAATCTAAATTTGATTTTTTTCACATGCAACTACAACAAAAAAAATCAATTTATTTTATCACATAACTCTTTCTTTGACCTATTTTTTCTCAATTTTTTTTCATTTATTTTTTTCCAGCCACATAAGAGTGTCCAAAATCTAGTAATACTTAAATCCGTTCTCAGCTAGGATGAATAATCCTTCAAAGTTAAAGAAACTTAGAGTCGCCTCTTCTCTTGTATTATAAATTTCTCATAGGCTTTGCCTTTGAGAAATTGCAAATACAAAAAATTGCAACCTTCCATTCTTCTTTTTGTTGCATTCCTTGTTTCAAGTTTGAATATGTCTGATGAATTAGATCAAGTTTTAGTCCCATGTTTGGAACGTGAGTTTAGAGGAACATGAGGCTTTTCTATGCATACTATTATCCAACATGTTTCCTAATAATGAAAGGGATGATGATGATCAATTCTTTGATGATGCTTACATGGAAGATGTGGTCATATTCGATACTGATGATGATATTATGGAGTTTCTTGAGGATGCTCTTATTGATGACGATCCACCAAAGATGATCAGGCCTGCCAGTAAATCAGCCATTGAAGGGTTGGAGAAGGTAAAGATCGATGAAAGATCATTAGTGTCGTGTTTGGTGTGCTTTGAAGATGTTTCAATCGGGACTGAAGCCAAACGCCTGCCCTGCTCCAATGTTTATCGTACAGGTTGCGTTGTTAAATGGTTTAAAGAGAGAATACATGTCCATTGTGCCGCTATAAAATGCCTGTTGTGGATTTTGATCTAATTGTCCCATTGCCTGCCATTGATTCTGATGTGGACTCTGAGAACATGACTGCTACTAATTGATTTCAAGTGTCATTTATAGTATGTATTTATTAGGGTTATGTTCTATTTTCTTTTTGTTTCTTTTGAACAATTTGTTTGTAAACTTAAGGGTACCCAAATCATAATGAAATTGTCATTTGGAACCCAAACCCTAAACCCTAATCACCCAAGTCCTTATCTTACATGATTATTAAAAAATTTACTGCACTTTTCCTTCTAATTCTGATGTTTTTGTATTTCTTATAATATGTTATTTCTATACATGACCATGCTCTCTACAACTATTGATATAAATTCTTGTTGATTAGTTTGTTTTGTTTTGCAGGGTTTTTCTATTTCTTATCAATATCTTTGAGACCAAGATTGGTCCTAAAGAACACTGTTCAGTCAATCAATGTTTTGATCAAATCAAGTGGATACTTTACAGAAACCAGGACGTTGAGTTAGTATTCACGAGAGCAAACAAGAGAAGCTAGTGTTTCCAACAAAATGAATTGATACACTGACTCAAACGAAACTAAATCCAACTTTTAATCGAAGGCAGTAAAACTTTTAATCATCTAAGACTGCAATACTAATATGTCTATTACACTTTTTGCAGAATCAAAATTTGTGTCCATATTGGATGTTTTCTCTTTCAGTTCTATGTACTGTTGTAACAGAGCTCCGAATTTTTTGTAGCATGACTCCTGATATAAATACAGAAAACATCTGATCTTACTTACATTTAACAAAAAACTTCTTGTTCAACAAAGAAAAACCAGAATCTATTTCAACTAGAATTGGTGGGGTGCGCCTGACCCATGCAGCAGTGCAACGCATGGGCGACACTTGAAGACCCCAGTAGCAAGCTACCGTGATGGACCTTCTCCCTCAAAAAACTAATTTAATATCATGTGGATCAATGACCCACGTATCAGATATTAAACTGATAAGAACAGATACTACACTTGATCTTAGCCAAAAGGCCGAGAAAGGTATGCTTTGCAATCGCTCTCAACTTCTCTTTCATAACTTGTCTCGCCCAAACCCTATTCAACTGTTCATGATGTGGGATAGGGAACTCAGCCAAGTGCAGTAACATGTATCTTTCGATGACCAGTGAAAGCTGATTGCTAGTTACCTGAATATCAGAGCAAAATCTGGCAACAAAAACACTCTAACAATTACCATTTCCTTGGAAGATTATTTATTAATAATTTGCGTATTTGAAATGGTATTTGACATCTGCTTTGAGAAGGCACGGTTCATATAATCTATAGGTATAACTTCAATGTCTTGTTTTATGCTGCGTTTAGCTGCAAAATCAGTCATCTATTGAGTCTCCTTCATCCTTTCAATCATGCTTATCTTCGTTCCTGCCGTAAAGGGTATAACTTGTTAATTTCTCAGTCTTAATACCAAATTATGTCCAATACTGAAAATATACAGTCAACTTAACGCATCTCTGCTTCGCAGATGATTTACTAATATTTGCAAAGGGTAAGTTGGATTCTGTTATTGGTGTGAAGGAGGTGCTGAAGGTGTTTTAACACCTTTTCTGGCCTGCAACTTAACTGTGAGAAAAGTGAGTTATATTCAACAGGAATTAATAGATGGGAGCTCAGTCCAATATAGCAGGTTTCTGGTTTTAAAATTGGATTGCTTTCTGTTAGATACTTGGGGGTACCTTTGGTTACCAGGAGGCTCACCGGAAAAGATTGTGCGCCACTAATGGACAAGATCACAACCAGGATTAAAAGTTGGGCAGCTAGGCATTTGTCTTATGGTGGAAGGTTGCAGCTAATGCAGTCCGTGCTGTTTGGTATGCAAAACTATTGGTCTAGGCGATTCATTATGCCAAAGCATGTGCTTAAGAAGAGAAATCAACTATGCTCCAGTTTCTTCTGGAAAAGGAGAGAAGGGTCCGCAAGGGGAGCTAGAGTGAGCCGTTGTGCAATTTGTTTCTCTAAATCTGAGGGAGGACTTGGTCTCAAAGATATAGTATCTTGGAACCAGGCTTGTCTCATGAAGAATATGCAGGACATTTTTATTAAAGCTGGTCCAATATGGATAGCATGGCTAGAAGCTTACGTTTTGAAGGAGAGGAGCATCTTGCAGGTTCCAGAACAACAAAACAGTAGCTGGAACTGGAGGAAGCTACTTCAGCTTAGATAGATTGCACGGCATTTTATAAACATAGAGAATGGAGTTGAGATCTAGCTTTTTCTAAGCAACACCTACTCAGCTGCTATAGTATGAAATACGATTAGGCCGAAACAAGAGAAGGTTGAATGGCATAAACTCATATGGTTTCAATACCATATTCCAAAGCACTCTATAATATCTTGGATGGCTATATTATATAGACTTTCAACGAAGGACAGGTTGAAAACGTGGGGAATTGAGGTGTATGACAAATGTTGCCTGTGCCAGAGAGAGGACGAAACCAGGGAACATTTGTTCTTTGGATGTGATTATTCAAAATAGATTTGGCAAAAGATATTACGGAAGTGCAGGATCTTTCGGGGGTGGAGAACTGGTCCGAAGAGTTGAGATGGGCAGTGAGCAAATTGAGGGGAAAGCCTCCATCATATTGCGATTAGCCTGGAATTCCAGACATCAGATATGGAAAGAGAGCAACAGCAGGATGTTACAGGTCCTTGAACACATAAAAGATGCTGTGAGGCTTCGATTACAGGGACTAAGTGAGATACACATAAAAGATGTTGTGAGACTTCGATTATAGGGACCAAGTCAGATTGCTGCGAATACAGTAAATAAGATGATGTGTGATACGTGGAATCTTAATGTTGCTATGATAGAATAGGTTGCAATTAGAGATGCGTATATCGATGGTTTGTAAAAGACAGTTGGATTGTTGTATTGTAGTAGAATTCTGCTAGCTTGATAAATAAAATACAAATTATCCAAAAAAATTCTAAAAATATACAATAATAAAATGCATTACGAACTTAAAATATCTATGCAGACCTCACATCACTCTTAAATAACATATTAACAATAGATTTTTTATTATATATTTATTGTATTATGTATAAATACATAAAATAAAAAACATAAAAATAAATTTGTTTTTTTTTTCACATGCAACTACAAAAAGAAAATCAATTTATTTTATTGCATAACCCTTTTCTTTGACATTTTTTTCTCATTTTTTCACTTTTTTTTTTGTTCCAACCACATAAGAGTGTCCAAAATCTTGTAATATGGAAATCCATTCTTAGCTAGGATGAATAATCCTTCAAAATTAAGGAAACTTACAGCCGCCTCTTCTCTTATATTATAAATTGCTTGTAGGCTTTGCCTTTGAGAAATTGCAATTATAAAGAATTGCAACCTTCCATTCTTCTTTTTATTGCATTCTTTGTTTTAAGTTTGATTATGTCTAATGAATTAGATCAAGTTTTAGTCCCTTGTCGGAATTTGAGTTTGAGGGATAGGAAGCTTTTCTATGCATACCATTATCTAGCATGTTTCCTAATAATGAAAGGGATTATGATGATCAGTTCTCTGATGATGATTATATGAAAGATGTGGTCATATTCGATACTGATAATGATATTATGGAGATTCTTGAGGATGCTCTTGTTGATGAAGATCCTCCAAAGATGATCAGGCCTGATAGTAAATCAGCCATTGAAGGGTTGGAGAAGGTAAAGATTAATCAAAGATCATTAGTGTTATATTCGGTTTAGTTTGAAGATGTTTCAATTGGGATTGAAGCCAAACGCCTGCCCTGCGCCCATGTTTATCATACAGGTTGCATTGTTAAATGTCTTAAAGAGACGAATACATATCCATTGTGCCGCTATGAAATGCCTGTTGTCGGTTTTGATCTAAATATCCCATTGCCTGCTATTGATTCTGATGTGGATTATAAAAACATGACGACTACTAATTGATTTCAATGTCGTTTGTATTATGTATTTGTTAGGGTTATGTTCTATTTCTTTTTGTTTCTTTTGAACAATTTGTTTGTAATCTTATGGGTACATACAGAACATAAATGCATTGATACACTGACTCAAATGAAACTAAATCCAACTTAAAAAAAGGCAGTAAAACTTTTAATCATCTAAGACTGCAATACTAATACGTCTATTACACCTTAAATTCTTCAATTTTAACTACAATGCTCTATGCACCATAGAGAATAATTTTGTTTTTAAAAAATTCTTCAATTTCTACTTATACCACCCCTTTTTGCTTTAATAAGTAAAAATGCATGCAGCAGTTTATACTTTCTGACAAAGCTTTTGAGACCAAGATTTTCCCTAAAGAACATCGTTCAGTTAATGTTCAATCAAACCTGTTGAACACTATCTTCTCAGATTTGATCTAGTTTATCAATGCATTAGCAAGCATTCAAGGGTTACTCTGAAGTAGGCCTTCAGACTCAAAATATTGCTGCTAATATATGACATGATACAATCGATTATCTATAGAATGGACATTGACGAGTTTTAGAGATGAAAAGCAATGCTGTTTCAAGACCGTTTCCGACACTGGTTGTACCTGACTACGCAGCTGCACTTGTCTTAACATTATGGTCTTGGAGAGGGGGTGGTTATATTCCTTAAATTTCAACATGATTTTTAGACACCATAATTGGTCCAGGCCCAAGCTCATTGGGTCTGGTCCAATAAGGTTTGAGCCTAAGCAATTGGATCTAGTCCAATGGGGGGGGCAAGTTGGCCCAATTTTTTTATTGGTTATTTTATTATTTTGAGTTTTTATTTTAATTATTATTTTAAAAAATAATGATTAAAATTTTTAAAAAGAATAATCAATAAATTTTAAAAAATAAAATAAAAAATAAAAAGGGAATAAAGAATAAGGTTCTGCCGTGGATGCTAGTGTCAGAATCATGATGGTTGAATTGAATTTCTATGGCATAAGGCAGGATTATGGTCAAAGTGGGAATTAGAATTAATTAGAAATTTGTTTGATTAAATTCTATAAATATCCACTGATTAAAGAAAGGAGACACGAAAAAATACAAAAAAACAGAAGCCAAAAAAGGTGTTTAGGAGAGTAGAAGCAATTTAGAAATTTTAGGATTTTTTTTCTTTGAATTTTTGGTAGAATTTGTTTTTGAAAATTTTTTGAAAAATTTTCAGATTCCGACGAAATTTTTCGACGTCGGTTGAACTTTTCAGTAGGTTTCCAGAATTCGACGAAGATTCCGACAAAGTTTAAATTTTTCAGTGACCATCCGGCAACCTAACTCAGATTTCGATGACGTTTTTTAAAATTCGGTGAAGGATTCGATCGGAGTTCATCTTAGTAGAGAGAGAGGGAGAGAAAATAAGGGGGAAGAAGAATTTTGCTAAAAGGCTGAGAATTAGCCTTATATACCTATTAAAGGCGACATCGTTTTGAGTTTAAGAAGCCCTAGGATCTACACATTTTCTATCCAGGTGACTCGACCTGATCGCTTAACCCGTTTCCCTGCGTTTCACCTTAGCAGATGCTGAGCCGTTAAACCAAGCTGCGTACCAAGCCAACCAACCGATTCTATCTCTGGAGCTGTGCCAAAGGTTTTTTTTTTCTTTTCCATTTAGTTTTATTATTTACTCATTGATTATTATTTTTTTCCTTATTTATTTATTGACTAAATTAAAATAAGTTATTTATTTAATTAAACACCTTTAATTTTCAATGATCTCTTTAAAATGAAATTTTGAAAAAAAAATATTTTTGAAGGAAAGTTGAATATATCAATTTCCTTTTAACATAAAAATTTTTAAAAAAATATTTTTGAGGGAAAGTTGAAAGTGTCAATTTCCCTTGAAAATAAAAATTTTCAAAAAATACTTTTGAGGGAAAGTTAAAAGTACCAATTTCCCTTGAAAATAAAAATGTCAAAAATGTTTTAAGGAAAAGTTGAAAGTATCAATTTTCCTTGTATAAAAGCATGAGTTTTTTTCTTATAAAATAAAAAAAGGATTTATATCGAAAATCGAATCATTATTCCTTTCTCATTTTGTCTTTTTTTTTCTTGAAGAATTTTTAACGTTAAATAATCCGACGATGGAGCCTCTGCAAGAGAAACAGTAGTTTTCTTGTATACTTTTGAGGTAAGAGAATTTTTCTTAATTTCCTGTCAAAAGTATTGGAGTTAATTAAGAATAATTTTCAATAATTAATTACTTGATAAAATTTTTAAGGCTTATTGGATAACATGAAATTAAGCTGGTACCATCTTCTGATGGGCATGTAGGGGTGCTATAACCTTCCCCACATGTAACCGAACTCTCAAACCCCGTTCTAGTTTGTAGACCCGAACTTATTCTTTTAGGGACCTTTAGTCAAGCTTGAGAGCCCCTTAAGAAGATAGATTCCTTAGGAGGCCATTCGCACTTAAGTAAAAAAGATTAGTGGCAACTCCTCAAGTCAATATCTAACTATAGATTTATGGATCTATATGTTATGACATTCATTATGATCAAGTTTTCTCATATTAAAGCATGCCTTTCATTGATTTTTTTCCATAGTTTAATATGAAAAGCGATAGCAAGAACGAACAAGTGTTTATTATATTCAAGAAATTCATCATATATATATATATATATTATTAGTGTATGTTACAGAGAATTCTGTGGGAAGTTAGGAATTAATTATCTCCATTAATATCTTGTCTGATCTACAAGCTGAATAGCTACAATATATGTCAATGTTCTTTGTCAAAATCTTTAAGGTTTCATTTATGGATACTTTCATTTTTTTTATAAAAATCAATAAAATACAAAATAATAAAAAAAATATCAATAAAAAATATTAAGTTATTTAAAAATTTATCATTACCAATTTCATATGTAAAAAGAATTCCTCATATTGTATACATATGCAATAAAATTCAAAACCAAACACTGACTTTATTTGAAAAATGAGGAACTTAATAAGAGATTTATACACTTATATTTTAATAAAATATTTAAGTGTTCAAACTGACACAGTTAAATACAAATTATGCATATAATGCATTTTTTTAAGCATTTATTTTTTTTAGGGTATTTGAGGTTGTAATGGATTGAATCCTACTCACTATTAATCAATTATAATAAAAACTTATATAGATATTCATTAGTTATAAGTTTGAATTTTACATAATATTTTAAAGAATCCTACGTAATTTTGAATTATAATTAATTATAGTACAATAATTTTAAGTGACATGTTTATTTTTTAATTTTATTAGTACTATTATTTATTGTTATGTCTAAATCAATCAGTTTAACAGTCAAAATTTGGTTAACACAATTAAGCCCTTGAGTTGTCTAAGCAAAGCATGCCTAAACAGCTATGTCACCTGTTTTAAGGAGATGGCTCACTCTTCACTAAAAGAATGACTCATTTAAAACTCCACCAATAACTTATGAAAACAATCTCTTCAAAATTGACCAATTGGCATCCAATTTGTCTAGGATCAATAAATGCAGCTTGTGCTTACCTTAAATCATTAAATGCAATTCCTATCCAGTGGATCCTTCTCAAATTTCACACAAATATTCTATAAACTGTTAACCATCTCAGTCAAGTCATCACCTTTGACCTCACACAAGAGGTAGATAGAAACCTAGGTACTCAATGTAACACACAAGACCCAACATTCTTTGAAGTTTATCCACTGAAGCTTCCCACACTTTATCATTTTCATCTTCCTTATTTCCTTATCTTACCTTAACATCAAAGTGCGCCTTAGAATAACAATTTTGACGCCCTTTGATTGTATTTTCTGATTACAGGTCACAGATTTTTTTCCCTAAAATCTCACCTCCCTTTTTTCTAGTTAAGACATCTAAAAACACCATCAACATTCATAATTTTATTTATAATGT